TTGGCAGTAGGTTATGGTAGTAGCAAGAAATATACAGCTAGATTTAAAAAAAAAAATTTTTTTTCTATGTAAGACAGTTTTCCTTTGATAATAATAAATAAAAAAAAAAAAAAAAGAAGAAGGAGATCTCTGTTACCATTAACCACCAAAAGAAAGTCTAATTTGTCTTGAAAAAAAGGCATAATCTATCTAGATGTACAAGTTGTTTTGATTTTATGATATGCGATATTTACAATTTTACTAACACATGTCAAAGTTGCAAAATTGTGTTCAGGCGTTCAGATTTGTTTAGCCTCAGTCACCAAGGGGTTAAGGTTTGACAAGCTGGGTATCTATTTACTTGGCGCAACCTCATCTTTTAATGTTTACAAAAAAGGGGTCCTTTATTGGTGTGCCCAAAATTACAGTTTTACAGCCAATATGAGATAACACCTACTTTATCTACTTCATGTTCGTTACATGTTCCCATTCACATACCAAAACATAAAAATAAATAAATTAAAAAGCTGCTTACCATATTAGATGCTCTTTTCTTTTTTGCTAATTCTGCTTAGTTCTCTTTGTTTATGAGGGGCTGGGGAGTTGTGTCTGTTTGCACTGTACTGGCAGATCTCACGATCAGTTGTAAAGTAGATTTGAACATTGTCTGTCCTAACAAAGGGCTAAATATTTAGAAGCTGACCTCCTGAATTGTATGTTGATAAGAGGAAACTTATGCTAGCTGTACAGTGAGCAAATTTTGGGTTCCTGATGAACAGCTGGAAATGCACTCAGTGGGTGGCTCTGCCAGCCCCATTCCATTTGTGAAAAGTCAATCGTTCAGTCAATTAAAGTCGAAGGTGCCTGCCGGAAAATTTTCAGCCAAACAGTGGCGGCATCCAATAAGATGCAGCCGCAGATCAAATTTTGACATCTGCTGTTACAGTGGTTGTGCAGGCTGAAGGATTTGTACCTTCATGCATTCCATGCATGAAGGTACAAAACCTTCTGTGTGCTGCTCTCCCCACAGCCCCCCTAATACTCACCTGTGCCCCCTCTCAATCCAGCAATGCACAGGAGCCTCGGCTGTCCTGGGTCTCTCTCCTCATTGGCCAAGACACAGCAGCGGGACCCATTGTCAATTACACCAGGAAGCCAAAGAGAAAACAGCGGGGGGACAGGGCTGAGCCGCGGATCAACATTGTGTCTTATGGACACACAAAGCGGGGCTTGGTAGCAAGCATGCACCAGTGCCCCCATAGCAAGCGGCTTCCTATTGGGGGCACCGGTCAAGGGGAAGGGGCCAGGAGCGTCAGCAGGGAACCGAAGGAGAAGAGGATAGGGGCTGCTCTGTGCAAAACCATTGCACAAAGCAGGTAAGTATTATGTGTTTGTTTTTAAAATAAAAAAAAGGAACCTTTAGAATCACTTTAAAATACAATAGCCTAGCAGGGGGAGTCATTCATTTATGTTGTAAAGCATTGATGGACGAATCAGTGTTGTTCAACATAAATGCCGAATAATGGAAATCTAAAGCCAGCCACAGATGGATCGAATCTTGACTGGGTACAATCGGCCTATTGGGATTTTAGCATTCCATTATTTCCTGCGGCTATAGCCGCTAGCAGTAATCATGTTCTGCCAGCCAGAAAGGCTCCCTGCACCCCCCCCCCCCCCCCCCCCAGCCGAACACAATAGCTCTGCTGGGGCATTCCTCCATCAACACTGACACTGTATGTAGATGGGAGAATCGAGTGACTTTCTTTACTTTCACCCATGGTGGAAGGAAAGAAAATCGTCTCCTCTACGGCTTGCCTAAGAGAATATAGCCAGCTTTACTATCAATGGGAAATTGTTCAGAAATGTTTACAGTCATGAGTTCTTCTCCTGAGACATTAATTCACATGTTTAGGTATGTAGTATACATAGGAACACACAACAAACATATAGTAGGGTGTTCTCACATCTGACAGCAAAAGTGGAAATTTAAACATCTGGGCTGCTTCCTGGATGTCAGAGATGCCAGACTCTGTTGCAATCCCTCTCGAGTCTAACGAGTCACTAAACATAAACTTCATAAATTCTATAAACCGGATTATGTAAATTAGTTTTTAATAAGAGTTATGGATGAATATTTAAAAAGGGTTATTAAAATATCAGAACAGAATGTTCAACAGCACAGTTCAAATGAACGAGGCTGAAGCACAGCAAGCACTATGTTCTGTTCTTACCTTCCCAGCACAGACCATTTCCTAATACACCAGCAGAGCCTCTTAAAAATCCTATGCAAGTACCAACTTTCTGAAAGTCAGCACTTGAATAAGCACACCCACCATCTGAAACTGCCAGGGCCTGATGTTTATGCCCCCAGCACAACATTTCAGGAGGCACAGTAAGTGTGTGGCCAAAACCCATAATTTGAAGTTGGGTTTTACCTGAAAGCTCCTGCAGAGGATCAGGGTGGTAGTATTTGCAAATGGAAATAAGTACCTTGTGGTACCTACTGCAAAGTACCTGCATTAGTTTAAGTTAGCTAAGTACAGGTTTGCTTAAAGAGAGCAGGTCATGACTGGGCTCATACCAAGAACTGGAACATTTAGTTGTTATGGTTCTGAAAACTTACCTATGAAATAAACTTAAAGTTGTCCTGTACTGTGGAAGATGTGCCACAAGAGGCAAGAAAAAACAAACAAACTACTCACTGGTATTACTGTGGTCTCCCTGCAGCTATTTACCTCAAATACTGACCTTCCATACCTTGTTTCAACACTGTGATTCTGTATAGAGTTGGCCATCTTGCTAGAGGAGCAGGGCTTTACTTCCTTCTATGGAAGCTGCCCTCTGATGACTGGTGGGCATCACAGAATGGATGAAGAGGAAGAGCCAAACCTTCAAGGAGAACAGTGACAACACAGTGGTGACATCACCAAATCTCCTGATACTTGCAGACAGAGGCAGCAGTGCCTTTTATGATCTCACACTGCAGATATACAGCAGTGAGGCTCATGGCACGTGCGTGCCTAGGCACCATAAGTGAACTGCTATTTTTTTAAACAAATTCAAGACAAAAAATGTGATTTTTCAGGAACAAATAACATATCTAGAGGATTCTTGACCTTAACCACAGGGTCCTGGTTTGTGATACTGTTATGCACACTCAAAAACAGTCTGTATTATCAGTATGTGCTCAGCAGGGGCAAACTGGCCATTTGGAAACTCGGGCACTGCCAAAGGCCCGGGGTCAGTAGGGGGCCCCATGAGATGCCCCTGGTACCTTTTTCATAGGCTTTTTTGAGTTTGGTCAAAGGACACAGGGGTCCCATGATCCCCTATTGCCCGGGGGCCCCATGAGTTGTCAGTCCGCCCCTGGTGCTCAGACAAATGGCAGACTAACTATAGTCAGACTTCTAGTGACCTCATACCTCCAACTCCCAGGGCCTAGAGGAAGGACTGGGACAAGAGGGAATGGGGGGTAGAGGGAGAATGTGCCCCAGGTGCCATGGCTCTATGTGCAGGAAGGGGGGGGTGCACACTGGGAACCCCAGGAGCTCCTTTATTTTGTCTGTCACTGACAGGTATTGCAGTGTCACTCCTTTCAGCAGGAGCATGACGATACTCAGTACAGCCACCTCCGGCACTAGCCTGGTGCTTGCCGCTATAACTTGTAAGCAGAAGCCACTTTCTGTGCCAACTTTTATTAAGTGACAGTGCCTCCTCAGAGCAGGAGGAATGGCTGCCAGGAGGCTGGGTTGTCATGATGCAGAGAGTGGAGTGCTCACACAAGCATGACAGCCCAGCCTTCTGGTAGATGCTCCTACACTGAGGAGGCCATGCGATGCGAATCAGGTGCAAGAAACAAAAGGGTCCTGCACCTGTTTGGTGTGGATGTGATGCGATTTGAGCCATACAAAATCGCACCGCACAGACATCACGTGTTTTGCACGGGAATGCCCTGCGGTTCCTATGTGAAGCACATACGATTACTGTTAACCAAGGCTTACACTGTTAAACAAATGGCTTACAGATAAACACTGAAGACCAAATGTGGCCGTGTTCATCTGCAGACTTTCATTTTTATTAATGAAGCGACAGTGGTTACTGGGACAGGAAGTGGAAGCCTTCCCAGAGGGAGAGAACAGTACCAATCAAACTGGTCCTAATACTTCTGTTTTATCCGAAACTAGAGAATAGTGTTTTAGCTGAGTTCTAACACTGTGTCAAGTTGCCATTTTGTTAGGATGTCAAGTAAAGCTATAGAGCGAGACCAAACCTCTGCTCAGGTCCTGCGCTATCCAATCAATCTTTTCTTTTTTGTCAGGTTAATACATAGGCTCACACGTGCAAAACAAGAAGTCTCTTAGCCTGAACTACGTTGTACATTTGATCTCTGCACATTGTTTGGTGCTGGTTGAAGAATAACTAGATCCTGCATACAGAATGGATGTTCTCGGGATTACATGGTGAGACTGTTCCATTTCCCTACTGTAGGAGTGCAGGACTTACACCCCAGTCACATCAAAGCCGATTTTGAAATAGTGTGACTTATAGTGAAGTCGCACGATTTCAAAATCAGGTGACCTGCTGATTTCATTGCGATTTGCAAGACATCTGACACAGATGTCTATGCAAATCGCAACAAAAGTAGTGCATGTACTACTTTAGAAATCGGTGCGGCTCTGACCAAGTCGGAACCACACCGATATGTCGTCTCTAATAGCGAACAATAGGGTGCGACTTGGCATACGATTTGCAAATCATACGCCAAGTCGCACCCTATGTGACCGGGGGCTTATTCTACGGCTTATGGATATATGCAGAGTCAATCAGCTACCAGGATGTAGGCTGGACCTGTCAATTGCCAATTAAACGTCCTTTTTGGCAAGCTCCAGTGTTGGTGATGAGGACACTAGGAGGATTTGAGCATTGATACTCTACCTGGAACTGTGGTATTCTTTTTGAGGCATATCTATTGCCCTATTGTCTATTTGCTCTCCTCTCGCAGAGGACATACACCTTGTGGCCAGGGGCGGACTGACCATTTGCAAACTCGGGCACTGCCCGAGGGCCCGGGGTCAGTAGGAGGCCCCATGAGATGCCCCTGGTACCTTTTTCATAGGCTTTTTTGAGATTGGGCAAGGACACAGGGGCCCCATGATCCCCTATTGCCCGGGGGCCCCATGAGTTGTCAGTCCGCCCCTGCTTGTGGCCCCTACACCACTAGCTTGGTTCTTATTAGATTTCAGCATACATCATAGCAGGGTCTTTCAGGAAGAGTCTACATCTGCACAGGAAGGGGGGCTGGGACAGGGGCGGACTGACCATTTGGGAACTCGGGCACTGCCCGAGGGCCCGGGGTCAGTAGGGGGCCCCATGAGATGCCCCTGATACTTTCATAGGCTTTTTTGGGTGTGGTTTGAGTGTTGGCGAGGACACGGGCCCCATGATCCCCTATTGCCCGGGGGCCCCATGAGTTGTCAGCCCGCCCCTGGGCTGGGAGACTAATGGGGGGCTGGCCCTAATAGGATTAATGGGGGGGGGAGAGTTGGGGGTGTATTGGAAGGGAGAGGGTAAGGTAGTTTGGGTGGGACTCCTGGGGGGGGGGGGGGAGGTCGGAACAGGGGGGGGGGTCAGCTGGGTGGGACTGGGGGGAAATGAGGAGGGGATGTACGGGATATATGCACTGAATAAATGACATGTTTTTATTGTTAAGTCCACAATAAAGGATGCACCCCCCTCATTATTATTATTACAATAGGGGTTTTGGCATAAGCGGATACCACTCCCAGGACAGGCTATTGGGCTGTCGGGTTTTTTTGTTTGTCGAAGAATAACTACCAAGGATTCTTGTTACAAAGTATAGCTTGAGCTCAGGACTCGGTAATTTCCACTAGGTGGTGATGTATCACAATGCATGGAGCCGCTTGTTCCAACAAATTGTTTCATGTAACCTGCTAAGCTGATCAAGAAAAACTGGAGAAAAGGCGAACGTGTATTATTCACAGCAAACCAATCACATTGTGTAAGCGTACAGCATGCATGTTTAGCTATCCCCAGCCAATGTTTAAGTAGCTCTGTCACTGACACAAAAGTGCCCTCTGCAAGGAAGAAAGTTAGGGCTCAGTCACCCCTCGGGGTCCTGCTGCACTGCATTGGTGCACATGGATTAATGTGGGCTTTTTTTGAATGTTAATGCACATTGCATCAAGGCAGCTCATTCAAAAGAATAGGCTGGCAATGCACACAAACATCCCCCATTTGTGGTAACAGTGCACCATGGTAGGGACTTACCCTGTGCTGTGCTGTCTTGTAACACATTTGCACTGGAGTTGAGTTGCTTTAATGTGTCGGGTGCCTTTTAAAATGAACGGCACTGCAATGCACTTAAGGTGTGTTAGTGTGTGCTACTGCAATGCACAGCAGCGGCAAAAGTGTGTTTCCCCCTTAAAGAGGTATTAAATCCAAAACCAAAAGTTGTATATATTGCAGCTTACCAAACTTTAGATGTGGTGGCTGCATTCGTTTTCTTTTTCAGGCTTTTCCCCCTTCTGTTTTCACCTGGTGATCTGGCCACCTCCTGTATTAGAGTGCTTCCACTCTGGATGAAGGAGCACAGGGGGTACCTTTGGACAGGAGCATTGCCAGTTTGAGGGGGAGGGGAGTGTTAGATGTACCAGCAAATTTACATACACTAAACAAATTGAAGCCCAGCTCACACTATAAGGCTCCATGCGCACTAGCATTTTTTTATGCTCCTAGAAGCTATTATTATCAGCAAACGTTCTGCTCCAAGGTTGTCCTATGTGTCCATGCACACTACTTTAGGCTATTGGCAGTTTTTGAGCTTCAGCGTCTAGGAGCAGAGAAAAAAAACTGTTTTTGTAGTTTTTTTGGAGCATTTTTCCAGCAGAAAAAAAAAAATTCTAAATGCTCCTAAAAGCTGCTAAAATGCTCCTAACAGCTTTTTTTCTAGCCTCTTTTACTTAGTCTACAACAGAGGTAGGCAACCTTTCAGAGGTTGAGGTCTACCTGGAAAACATAGAGTAAAGCAAAGGTCCCATGGGAGGGGGTTTCTATGTGGCGCCCTTAAAACAAAACATCACCCCCCCAACGTAGTGTCCTCTGTCTCCCTTTACATCACCCCCCACTGTAGTGTCCTGTACCCCCCCAATGCAGTATCCACTGCCCCCATTTCATCACCCCCCCACTGTAGCATCCTCTGCCCCCAATGCTGTGTCCTTTGCCACCCTCCCCCACAGTAGTGTCCTGTACCCCCCCAAAGCAGTGTCATCTGCCCCTCTTCACACCACATCCCCCCCACTGTTGTATCCTCTGCCCTCTTCCCCTCAGTAGTGTCCTTGACCCCCCAAAAAACAATGTCCTCTACCCCCCCCCTCACATCACCCTCCCCCACTGTGTAGTGTCCTCTCCCCTGCCCCATAGTAGTGTTCCCTGCCCCCCACAAAGTGTCATCTGCCTCCCCATCCTCCAAAGCAGTGCCCCCTGTCCTTTTCTCATCAAAATCCCCCCCCCCCACACTATAGTTTACTCTGTCCCCCCCTCCAATAGAGTCTCCTAAGCCCCCCCCAGTGTCTCCTGTGCCCCCCCTCCCACAGATTCTCCTGTGCCTCCCCACAGTGTCTCCTAAGCCCCCCCTCAGTGTCTCCTGTGCCCCCCCCCCACAGAGTCTCCTGTGCCCCCCCACAGTGCCTCCTAAGCCACCCCCATCAATGTCTCCTGTGCCCCCCCACAGTGTCTCCTAAGCCCCCCTCAGTGTCTCCTAAGCCCCCCTTCCTACAAAGTCTCCTGTGCGACAACAGTACGGGGTGGAAAGCGGGAGCAGGAGCTGCCAAGCTGATGATTGGTTGCTAGGGCAGCCTATCAACCAATCACTGAGCAACTTCCGCACCCAACCTCGTCCTCCATCCAGCACTATGATGTCTCCTGCTCTCCGCTCTGACTGTAACATGAGAGTGGGAGGAGGCAGAACCGTGGTCACAATCGACCTGCCGGCTCCCCACGGTCGGCCAGTCAATCGCAATCGACGGGTTGCCGACCACCGCTCTACTGTAAAAATGGTAATAAAAAGCTAACACTCCTAAACGCTACTAAAAATGCTATTGCCAGTGTTTTCCATCCAGCTTTTTTTAGTTTAAAAAAATGAAAAAAAAAATTTTCCTTTTGGCATAAAGGTTTTACATAAATTATTAAAAGCTGATTGCTGTAAGCACCCCTCTCAGTGGTACACGGTTTGTCTCAACCCTCTAACTGCTACATCCATAGGACAGCTTGTTATTTTGAAAAGCAACAGACCTGCTGGCCAGATCACCAGGTGAAAATAAAAAAAGAAAGCCAAAAGAATAAAATGAATGCTGCTATCACATCCAAGAACTGGTAAGCTGAAAGATAATAAACACTTGATTTTGGGTCTAATACCACCTTAAAGTTGACCTTTACCAAAAAGCACACTATGTTCTCTCATATGGGTACAGCAGCATAGTGTACTAAACCTACCATCCAGCCAGAGATCCCTTTCATTTTAACTACTTGCCCTCCTGAGGATTTACCCCCCTTCCTGACCAGGCCATTTTTTGCGTTCTGGCGCTGCGTTACTTTAACTAACAATTGCGCAGTCATGCAACGCTGCACCCCAAATGAAATTGACATCCTTTCTTCTCACGAACTGAGCTTTCTTTCGGTGGTATTTGATCGCCTGTGCATTTTTTATTTTTTGCGGGTTTTCAGGGTGCGCCTAAGGGGGAGGAGAGTAGGTGATGGGTTGGACAGGGAGTTCCAGAGTATGGGTGACACCCTGGAGAAGTCCTGGAGGCGGGCATGGGAGGAGGAGACCAGGGAACTAGAGAGAAGGAGGTCTTGTGAATCTCCCCTGTAAATGCCTATATGTGTATAGACCAGCAATGGGCAAACTACGGCCCGGCGGACCTTTTAATCCGGCCCGCGGAGCTAGGCTCCTCTCACAGTCCGCCCTGAAGACCGGTGTAGCATGAAAATCTGTCTCCTATGAGGATCTGTCCCCCTCGACGTATCTGCGCATGTGCCGGAGATCGCCGATCGGCTGCTAATGCCGGAAACTGGCACATGCGCAGATACGTCGAGGGGGACAGATCCTCATAGGAGACAGATTTTCATGCTACACCGGAATGGCGCGAGAACACGGCGAGAGGAACGCGCGGAGCAAAGGTAAGTGAATTGACACAGGGGGGACTTACTATAGGGGGGATGAATTAATATGGGGAATGAATTACTATATGGGGGATGAATTACTATATGGGGGATGAATTACTATAGGGGGGATGAATTACTATATGGGGGATGAATTACTATAGGGGGGATGAATTACTATATGGGGGATGAATTACTATATGGGTAATGAATTACTATATGGGGGATGAATTACTATATGGGGGATTAATTAATATGGGGAATGAATTACTATATGGGGGATGAATTACTAAATGGGGGATGAATTACTATATGGGGGATGAATTACTATAGGGGGGATTAATTAATATAGGGGGGAATGAATTAATATATGGGGGATGAATTACTAAATGGGGGATGAATTACTAAATGGGGGATGAATTACTATATGGGGGATGAATTACTATATGGGGGATGAATTACTATATAGGGGGATGAATTACTATATGGGGGATGAATTACTATGGGGGATGAATTACTATATGGGGGATGAATTACTATGGGGGATGAATTACTATATGGGGGATGAATTACTATATGGGGGATGAATTACTATGGGGAATGAATTACTATATGGGGGATGAATTACTGGGGGGGATGAATTACTATATGGGGGATGAATTACTATAGGGGGGATGAATTACTATATGGGGGATGAATTACTATGGGGGATGAATTACTATATGGGGGATGAATTACTATGGGGGATGAATTACTATGGGGGATGAATTACTATATGGGGGATGAATTACTATATGGGGGATGAATTACTATGGGGGATGAATTACTATATGGGGGATGAATTACTATATGGGGGATGAATTACTATATGGGGGTTGAATTACTATATGGGGGATGAATTACTATATGGGGGATGAATTACTATATGGGGGATGAATTACTATGGGGGATGAATTACTATATGGGGGATTAATTATTATGCTTACTATGGGGGAATATTACTATACTTACTATGGATGACACATACACATCATTCATCTACTCTTGGTCCGGCCCCCGGGTCCAATATATGAACCCATTGCGGCCCTCAAGTCAAAAAGTTTGCCCACCCCTGGTATAGACGCATAAAAAACACACCAAAAAGCCGTGGATTTTAAGTCCAGTGTGCATGAGGCCTACTCATCCACATCAAAACAGTTTCTGATATTATTATGAAACAAGGGTAA